AAGTTCTTTGCGACACACGAAAATGTAAATAAAATAAAATATTCATAGAGTTAGAAAACGTAAACATGAACATCGTTTTTAAAAAGGTTCTTAACAAGCTGCCTTAAAACCTACACTTTTCACTCGCTTAGCCGAAAGTTCTGATAAAGTTAACAACAAATAACTGAACAAATTAAGAAAATAATTAATCATATACCGATGGAGCATTTCAGTAAACGTTGAAAGAATTGCTAGTTGAAGACTCGAATCTGTATAAGCATACACCCTGTAGTTCGTTTCCACAATTATATAACCATTATTGCCCTGCTTTTCACCAGAGGTTTCTGCAGAAGTGCTAGCAGCCGTAAGGTTTTTGAACAGCGGGGTTATAAAAAAGTACCTGTAATAACTGACGCAATAAGTTTTCAAGTGTTTTTAAACCTCATGAAAAAAAAGACAAACACATACTGATAATTCTTATAAAAAGCCATGTAAAATTCAAACCCGTCTTTTCGTTTCCTAATAAAAATTAGTCCAAGTTCTCTTAAATGCATGAAGAAACTTTTTAAATCTTCCGACCAATTTTCATTGATTACAAATGCACGTGGCACTGGTCGCAACTTTTCTTTTTCAGCTTCAGTCCCAATAGTTTTCCCGAAAGAAGACGTACTTCCAATACATAACATTAGTCTAAACCACAGTCACTTATACCAGTATTATCCGGCAGAAATACGTAGTAAAAAACTGAGTTTAAAGCTGACTAAATATAGTACAATAAATAAAGCGGCTAAAAACTGTTAAAAGCAAACCTAAATAAAAGTATAAGTTCTTGTAACACATCTTTACTTAGTGATTCTTCCATACGAAAGTAATGTAATAAATATGTCCATATCTGTTCAGTTCTGTTTAGTAGTAAAAATTGAAAACCGGTTGACGTTATTTCCAGGTTGCCTTCCCCTTGAAAAAACTTCTATAGAGATTATGCGCATCTGGTTGAAAAAGTAGACAATTATCATTAAGATCATTACGCTCGTTCATTATCAAAAACTTCCTTTTATTAAAGTTTATTATTATTACTAATTATTATTAAATTCCTAAAATCATGGTCAAAAACTTCCCTTACAAGTTCGCATGTAAAATTGCGGTTAAGTAATTTTAAAAGAGAATCTCTTTACCAAGTTACAGTTCAGCCAACAATTCATTCAAATTTCAAAAAACCATACAGTTTTGACCATGATAGGTTAAGCCTTGAAATATTACCATCTCCCCCACTAGTTAAACCAGCGGTCTTGAACAGTTGCTTTGTTGTACTACTAACTCCTTTTTCACTTTTCTGAGACGGCAATGCAACGTAATGCAGAATGCATTCCCAACGTTCCAAAGCCTTTTTTCCAAGATCTTTACTAGTTGCTTTGCGGCTCTTTTCGTCCAATTCAGTTACTGCTTGGAGCTCAGAAGATCGATAACTACCGGTATAAAGTGCCATTAGATAAGAATTCCGAAATGCCGACTAAAAAAATTTTATGAAAACCGGAAGAAGCAAATTAAGAAGAGACGAAAATAAAAGGAAAAAATTAGAATTCCAAAAAATTATCGACGTTGTAAAGTTCATTCCCTAAACGAAGGAATTCATGAGTCAAAACATTCCGTACATTAATCAATCCATCCTCATCTAATAATGCAAGCTTTTTCAGCAAAGAAAAGTGATTTTCTATGAGGCTTTGATTTTTTGTCGCTGCACTTTTGTACCACCAGCTGCAAAAAGAATAATATTCAAAAAACAACTGCAGATTCAACGATCGAAGAAAACTGCAAAATGCGTAACGACTAATAAGGCAAAACCTAATATTCTTTTAGCTTCTCAAACCTCTGAGAACAATCGATTTTCTGCCACAATCCTTTTAATAAACACTGTTGCGACAGAGAAGGTAAAAATCGAAAAACAACGTATGCAGCCACTGGGGATTCGTAGAGGAGCTGAAGCCGACTAGGGTTTTGTTCACACAAATATTTCAGCAGCGGGCGATCATGTAAGCTCACCATATCAATACTGTAATTTATATGCATTACTTAATCACCTCTTTATCTGCTGCAGCAACCAAAAAAATAAACGATATGCCTTATCACAAACTTGAGCGGAGCGTAGAGACACGTAGAGGCCGTTCTTGAACTTAGAAGATGCAGCTATAAGATAAAATAAGATCTTTTTTAAGCTTCCTGTACCCGCCACTATTCATTCTAACCCAGTTTTGTTCGAACATAAACCAAAAAAAAATTTTTTTTAAGGTCCTGCAAATTTCCCAACTTCTTTACTCAAAAACGTCAAAAATACAAGTCCTATACATCTACCACCATAAAAATATGCCCCAACTATACAAAAAAACAATTATAGAAAAACTGCTAAGTCTAATAAACCCAAAGACTGCTAAAAACTTGACCCAAAAATTATACTGAATTAAAAATTTTGCTCAAATGCTCGACTCACTGAAGTAAAGAAAGATAAACAGATAGTTAAACAGACAAGGCAACAACTAAACATCACCAACTTCACAACCAATGCTGATGAATCATTTACACCTAAAAACTCTCCTAACCATAACCAGATATCAAAAAATATTTACGCAGTCGGCCTTCCGAACAAATCTCAGAAATGTTTAGTCTGAAACAATAACCACAAGGAAACAGCCAGTGAGATTATAAAGGACATCTATGAGACGAAAAAGTAACGAAGTCACAACCAGACATCGATTCGATGAGAAAACTCAATATCTAAATACAAATCACCAAAGCCTACCTTTAATGCCTCTTCCTTAAAAAAACAGCTTTCGAGCTTGACAATAAAAAATTAATAAACAAATCCATTAAATTCGTTGAAAAAATTGAAGTACCGGAGCACATCAGAGAAACAAAAGTCCGACAGCAAAAAGGAATCGGTTTACTAGGACCATTTCTAACAACGCATCCACAAGTGCAATTACAAGTGCAAACCCGTTGGTACATAAAAAGCATACAAATTCGCGAAGCGTTGTTTAATTCAGTCAAACAGTAACCATCTAACACCACTTTACTAATCCAATACAAATTCATTTCCAATATTAACATTTTGACTTTGAAGAAATACAACAATAGTTATCGATTCTCAGAAATTCTGAGACTTCAACAAAAAACGAAAGAGGCTATTAACAATCCTCTCTGGATTCACTGTTTCAGATGAAAAACAGATACACTACAAAAACATCCATACTAGTTTAAAGCAACATTTATGACAACTGTGGAAAAGAAATTATATTGGAAATTTCACTGAAGCAGCCTCACGCAAAAAAAAAAAAAAGCTGTTACTGCGATAAAGAATTAGGCGACATATCAAAAGTACTAACAACATAGACTTGAAATCTATAACATAAAAAGCAGAAATAACACCTCTTACCACACTTGACACTTTTCAGTTCGGCTTCAGATACAATGATGATACATAACATTCTAAGCCATAAAAAGTTCCTAACGGGCATTTCGCTGGCTACAGTAAAAAACAAGGGCAATTCCATTTTTCAAAATAACTGAGGTTTTTATTCCGAAGCTAAAATCAGTATGCAGAGAAACGTGATTAGCAGCTATCTGAGAACTAAAAACTCTCGAATGTGTACCGGCAAAACAGATGTAACAGTTACCATAATTTCTATTGATAAGTATTTAAAAATGTAAAAAAACCAACAGAAAACAATTATTTCCTAAATGCAGACTAACAAAAAAAAAAAAAATAGAAAATAGATTTTTAAACTCGCAGAGGAAATGAAAACCCGCAACAATGTCATACACGTGAAAACCGCCAAACTGCTAAAAGAAAAAAAAATAGGAAACGTTTGAAAGTTTCAAACAACAAAACAAAGTGTGACTTAAGAGCCACAAGAACGTTTAACAACCTCTTGAAGACCTACAAGCAGTAAAACCACGGCGTCTAGCGCATTCTCAAATTATACAACAGAAGTCCGCACAAAAAGATGAAGAAAACGAGGTTTTTAAGCATGCAGAGGCGGAAAATTAAACATTTCACTGGATAATCAAAAAGTATCTTTTTTAAAAGATTTTTGGCATTTAGCAGAAAATACCTGTTCATGACAATATTTGGCCAAAGGGATAAAAATTTGCAACTAAAACACTAACAAACAAAAAATTTCAAATAAAACTCTCTTCAACTCAAAAACAGTTTTGATGTTTAATCTCACCAGTTCCAATAACGTCATTAAAGAAATGGAAAAGTCAGTTTACAGCATGTAAATGCTTCTCCAAGTCTTTAGTTCAGCTAACCAAACTTAAATTTTAAGAAACAAATAAAGCTTAGTCAGCTTTCAAGCTAGGATGAACCTCAGTTTCGTTCTTTGGAATTTCTGATTGCATTGCTATAAGAATTGCTTGGTATAAAGAGGCAGCTTCACGAACATTACTGTATTTCAAAGCAAAACTTTGCAGCTCAATTGACAGTGGCTAAAATAATAAATATTTGAATCTTTACTGTGCAGAGAGTATCCAGACTATATTAGCATTATAAATAAATTAAAAAGAATGAAAAACCTAAAATATCAGACTTACGTGAACGTTCCATGTCTTGTTACGCATCAGAGACGACAGGAAGACGCATATAACACGAACTTGACGGCAAAGAGAAGCCGATGTTAAAGTAGGATCGTCACACCTTTGAACACATGAAGAGATAAAACGATTCAAGTACTCCTGCGGAACGTCTACTTGCTGAAATAACAGATCAAATAGTCAAGTATATACATATAAACATGCATATAAGTACATATAAATAAATAAATAAGCAAATAAATAAATGTGTATATATTATAGTCGCGTTCATTTCTAATTGTATTGCCGAGAATACG